TATTCATTTCATTCGTACATTCATTTTTATATTCATATTGGTTACTATCCATTAAATCGAATAAACAAATCACGCGTCTGCGCACACCTGGCGCATGTAGCCGGCCGGCCGAGGGACCGCCGCTGCCGTGAGAACAATAGGCTTCCGAGAATCGTATTTAATTTGTTTATCAGCTATGAACGCAAACGACGCGACCTATTCGCACGTGTGTCGTTACGAAACTGATACTGGATTTATATGAAATGCTATTACTTAAGAGTAATTTGTTAATAATAATTATGTTATAATACTGGTATGATTTTACTTCTTTTGGCGCGTTAGGGAAAAAATAATGAGGGTGATTGTTACGATGCGCGAGCAAAGACATATAATCGATAAATCCTAAAACCCTTTCATCATCATCACCGTTTCAGCCTGTTTGAGTCCACCGCTGAACACAGGCCTCCCCCAACAGGCTGTCACGAATCACGTACCTAAGCCACTTGCATCCCTCGACTTCCCGCACACTTGCACAGGTTGCTCTCCATCTAGTGGGGATCGTTTGGACCTTTCTTCCCCAACGATTATCTGTTTTACGAGCTATATGGCTGGCCCATCGCCACTTCAGCTTATTAACCTTCTCAGCCATGTCGGTTACTTTTGTTCTACTGCGTATGTCTTCGTTGCGAGTTCTAATCTCCCTTTAGAATATATACAACATAAATGATGAGTCAAAATCTCGAAACATTCCAAATGAAAAATCTGGTATTTTTAACTGGTTATGCCAAAGAACTGTAATTAATATAACTTTTTACGCACATGCATAAGCGCGTGCACAAACACACAAACACATACCGTTTGTGAAGTTATACTGTTTTTTGAATTTTGGGAAAAACGTATGAGAGTAAGGTTTTTACGATGCGTGCGCACACTGATAGCCAAAAAGCTACAAGTTGGTTGCAAAGAGAGCAACTTGTTCGACAACTTCACGGTATTACCATGGCAACCAATATCAACTTTTTGACTGTTACCTGTAGGTACAGTTTTTTTCCTACCAATATATTATTTTTAATTCCCGTAATTATTACTGGAATTATAATTCCAAGTTATTTAATTAAACCGTTAACAATTGCATTTAATGTCTTTTTTCCAAAAATAACGAGTCCTGTCAAAATAACTAAAAAATTTATCCCCTATAAAATTTTTAATTATTTTTATTTGGTTACGCTAAATAAGTATAACTTCTTGCGTGTGTACATAATTACATATACGTTTTTTTTAAATAAGTCAATAACGACCCTCGATTCTATATATGAAAGTACTACGACAAGAAGTATTTAAATGTAAAAAAATGTAGAAAAAATTAAAGAAAAGCTATTCGCCGCTACGGGAATCGAACTCACATCGTCCGGATTCGCGCCCAGACGCTTTAACAACGAAAATCTTAACATATTTTATCAATATCGTGTTTTCGCATTTTAAGCAATACTGTTTTTTTTCGCATTTTAGCAATGAAATATTGAGAGTCTCTCCAGACATTATCAGTTTTTCTAAAAGGTGAAAGCTTATGACCCCTTTTCGGGATTACTGAAACTCACATTTGTGCTTACCGAGATCAAGCGAAAATCTCCCGTCGTGAATATTTACGTAGAGGCTTCAACAAAATGAGATTAATCTGCTCATATGAAGGTTCTGTATTTAAGGCTTCAAAAAATTACGAATCTTGAATGAATCAACAAATACATTTTTTATCAAAGTTAACTTTTTAGTTTTGCTTATGCCAGTAAGCTACCTAACATAACGTGAAATATACCATCTTTTTTTTTAATAAAATCTAAGCTCTGAATAAAATTTAGTCCCATACATAAAAATTGATGCGTAGCACACTGGAAAATGCTCTTAAGTAAGCTCTTAAGCGTTTTCACAAATTTACGAGCCAATTTGCTGTCCGTCCAAGTCGTTATATCGCCGTTAGAAAATACTGGTATTAATAGTATTATTTGACATAAAACGTTTTGCATCCGTGCTGATAAAATTATTCATTATTCGTGAATGGAAAACTGGATGATGTTAGCATTGTTAAATGGAACTAACTCTGTGGATTTAACTCGTTCAATCTTGATTTCAATTTCTTTGCTTCAGTTATTGTAAGAATTCTCTTTCATTATTTTAGGCTCATATAAGATAAAAATGCAATCAAACTTAAAGGTGAAGCCAGAGCCAAGTCCCAAATAAGTTTCTTTTATTTAGTAGTAATATTAGCTAATATTTTGAATAGCGTGAATAACATAGTGTGACGAACATTAACCCATGTTTCTTCACACCCAACGATGAGTTAGGTATGTAACGTCACTGAAGCTTTGTATAAAATTGGAATTTAAGCGTCTGATTTACCCTCTCCTAAAACCTGTAAACATTGTTAAATTCCTTTAAGTACGGACGTAGATGGTTTTAATGAGAGTTTAATAATAAATAAAAAATAGTTACATTATGAATTGACTAAACTTAACGTTTCTATCTGTCTTTCTCCTTATTTATTCATCATCATCCTCATAATTTCAGCCTATTAGAGTCTATCGTATGCTACGAAACACAATCGCAAGATACCTTCCAAAACCATTTGACTTAGCCATCTAGTATAGTGGTCCAATCTATATTTCTCACTTGAAGTTATTTTAATCCAAAAATGTGCGACTGTTAATGTATAATTTTGTCATAAAAGTCCTTATAGTAATTGTTTTCTGCATCTCAGATTACAATATAATTCATTTAACTCGTAGCTTAATAATTAAGCTGGTCTTAGTGTAATTATTACACTAAGGTCAGCATAGAGGTATTATCAAAGTATCTGTACAAACGAGCTTTTCAAATAACAAAAATAGTTTTTTTATTTGAAAAGTCGTTAATAATACTCTTAGCCGTTTTAGTGACAGCTAATCGGCTTACATTAATGTCCTGGAGAGATAAACAACATTACATTGAGCGTTTTTTACTTTATTAAATAAGTCGGCACAGAACAACGGCACATTTTCTTAAGCGAACTTTGCCACAATTTTGCCCCGGGACGCGGCGTAAAGAATAATAAATAGGTGCTTGGATAAATAAGTTGCCGTGATAAGCATAGTCGTCGAGGAAAAGATTACAGTAGACAAATAACGTTACTTTCATTCTTATTAACACAATGATGGTTCAAATAGGATTTCCGTCCATATTTTCTTCTAGACAACAGAGATAATAAATTGGACGTGATTTTTATCTGTTTATTAAAACTGTTTGAACAAATTTAACTTGACAACCCAATTGGCCTAGCAGGTGAAACGTGTCGCAATTTAATTTGTTAGTTTATGCTTTCAAAGGCCTTCTGCAACTCAATTGCTGGTGTTAGATCGTGTTACGCTATGCTCGGGAGAAAATCTAAGGAATGAATTTCTGCTCTAACAGCAAAACTGGAACCATTGAAATTGAACACGTCACATAGTGGTCGAAATAATACAGTGGAAATACATCTGAATTTGTAAAAGCATAAAAATAGAAGACTGCAATGATATTATCATAAGAGTATACGATGACATGATACAAAGACGATCTTATCCGCAACTTCGTTTTGCTCTTATAGATTTTTCTTAAAAATAGGAAGTCATAGTAACTGAACAAGTAATTCACTTACCGTGACTAAAGTTCCTGATGGTAATAAGGATTGCCACCCATGTTACCAAGCATCTGTTAGTGTACTAATAAACACTTTTACTTCACACATGATGATGCTTCACTGTTGTGACGCCGTAGTAATAGTCGAGTAAGTAGTTATTTTTGCTCTACCACTAGATATATCCTTTGTCTATCACTGCCTTGAGGACTTACGAATAATCCTGAAACACTTTTCTAAGGAGACATTTTTACCCATACACTAGAAAATCACTATGTGCACGACACATTATTTTTCCAGTAGTGGTGATCGAAATTTATTTATTCCCGTAATATTGACTTAATTTTTACCCACTTTATTACAAGGTGGCAAAGCGTCTGCAACCATACGGGTATTGCAAATGAAAATGGACGGCGGTTATCACTTAACATCAGGTGATCCGACAGCTTTCTTGCCACCTTTTCACATAAAAAAAAAAACCATAATGATACCAAATAGAATGAATGACATTGGGAGAAGATAATTATAAAATTTTAACTTTTCACATAAAAAAATACCATAATGACACCAATTAGAATGAATGATAGATAGAATGATGATAGAATGAATGACTTATATCTAAATACTTATACATTATTTATAACGTATATGCTTATATATCGTGTTTGCATGTGTATTTATGTATAATTTATTAATATGTATTTATATTTTGACTTATAAGTTTCTCTTATTAATTCAGTGTACACCGTTACCTGATGCTACTGTTTTTACTATTTCCTTTAACTAGGTTGCCTGGAAGAAATCGCTTCTTAGCGATAAGGCCGCCTATTGTACAGTTTTGTATTATTTTTGTTGATTTTTTCAATATCCGTTGGTTGTGTACAATAAAGTATATTTCATTCATTCATTCATAGTGGGAGAAGAATAATTATAGAATTTACACTTCCACTTATGTCATGGATGACACAAGTAAATATAACTTTATAAAGAGTTTAATCGTTTTTTTTTTTCATTAGGGTATAAAATTACAGCATTAATAAAATTATTAAACAGTTTATACTCAGCATGAGTCTTATGATAGGTAAGATTTTAGATAATCAGATGAATTGCAGAGGTTTGTTTCGTTTAAAAGTCATATTGTTCTCAGCGTCTTTCTAATCTTACACTTCAGCACAGTAAACTAATATTGGTCCGGTAAGTTAACATAAGCATTAATCATTTCGGAAATTTCACCGAGGGACTGCTTTAATGTAATTACGAATAGTGCAGGATTTACGACGTCTTCTGATTTTATTATTCTTTGATAAACTTTATTTCTCAAACTTAGTGCGTTCATTGCGTTTAAGCTGAATTAAAGTTGGTGTTGTTTTTTACTATGCACTGGAGCCGTCTAACGATTTTAATGGTAAAATATTTTAGTAATCACTAGTTTTAGTAGTCTGACTCGGTTGATTGTCACTTTGCGTCGCGGGTATTATGATCTACACATAATTGTATCGATCTAGTAATTAAGTGGTATTTTTAACGCTTAACATTTTCTTGTTTCATAATAAATAAATCCAAATTTTGCGTATTGAATAAAATAAAAAATAAAAATTGCGAAAATAATATTTTCACAACGATCAGAATTACTTGATATTATATTTATAATAAATTAACACCTGATATTATAATTATTTCCTATCAGTAAGAACAGCACAATTATATAAGTACAGATATTTATTAATGTGAATAAAATTATTTTATTGCCAGTTCGTATAAAGCGTCAGCTTATTATACAAAAGACGACGGCCTATAAAACGTGATTTTACTACAGTTTGTGATCGAATAAAAACTAATATTTTATTGTATAAAATTAAGTGACATTCGTGTTTAAGAGTCGCGGAGTGGTGTGTCTTGTTCTGAGGGCTGATATTGATGATAAAGTGTCACGTATGTGTAGGACGTACCTACTTTTATTCTAGTATTGTTCGTAACCTGTATGCGCCTGTCACAATCAATTAGCATACTTTTTTTGCTAATACATTTTGTCAGATTAATATTATATATATTGGCAAATATATGTAGATTTTGGAAGGAAAATATTTTTAATGCTGAATATTCATAAATATTCATCTTGGAACTTTTTGCGGATTTTCTTCGACGTTTTTATACATTCATAGTCTTCGTGATTAAAGTTTGTGAGTATAAATAATACGAGAGTCCGTGCCGGCGGCCCGAATAGGTCTGAAGGCAATCATAGTGAAAATTTCAGAATTTAATTAATTATTTATTATTATATCCAATAGTTACAATATTAAACATTAGATTACATAATCTAATAAAGCAAGTCCGCGTTACATGGTGCCAATAACGCCACCTGTATGTTCTAACTGAATAGTCCGGCTTAACCTTTGAGCGAGTAAAGAACAATCCCTTTTGTCACCAGCCGCGACGATAAGTCTATGAATAAAAATAATAGTAGTATAAAAATGAATGTATTTGGAACACGGTTAGGGCATACATCATCCTTTCTTCATTTTAATATTGTTCTCTTTTTATTGTGTACTTTATTTTATTTTGAAATCAGAAGGGTGGATTGAAAAGTTCACAAATAATCATGTCTTACAACTTTAAAGGCGACAGTTATGATAGACACGGAGTGTATGAGTGATTCGTCATCGTCATCCGAAGATTATGGTACGTAGATTTGACTTTGAATCAAATTTCTGCGCCATTGAATATTGCAATGAAGTGACATTCTTTTATCATGTAAAAGAGATTTGGACAATCAACATAGTTTTCACCTTGTTCATCCGTTTTCACCTCATAAATAATAAAATTGGAAGGAAAATATTTATTTTTATTTTCCTTTTAATTTCTTTTTATTTCATTTTTGTTAACTTTGATCTTTTCCGTAGTGAACTTATACGAGACTTGAAGATTAAGTTAATGCATATAGATGGTATTCGTCATATAGAAATACATTTTTTTCGAGGTATATTTTCAAAAGATTTCTGATATTTTATGAAGTTAGTCGTCACTTCTTTCTGTTTTAGAGCCCTCACTATTCAGCGAGTTGGACGATGGCAGTATATCAGATTTAGAAGACTTACTTAAAGGTAACGACAGGAACAAAAAATTAAGGAACCGGTTGGTTTAAACGGAATTTCTTTCAATTGAACAAATTAAGGAATAAGCTCAGGAGATAAGTAGCTTTTCTGACAATAAAATAGGCCTGATTAGAAACATTTTTTATAGATATACTACTATTTATTTTCTATTAAATACTATTTACTTAAACAGTCTCACCGACTGTTTAAGTAAATAGTATTTAATAGAATTATTGATATGATTTTTACCGTTATTTTGTACATATGAATTATCATTATTTCACTTTACAATGCTTGAAAAAAGCATTAAATATATATAAGCACTACAACAAATATTGTGTTATTTCTAAATCTAAGTAGGTTTGTATTGTTAGTGTTTATATCAGTTTTTAAGTTTATTTCATTTGTCCCTATCAGCAAAGTTGAAACTCAAAAATATGTTATGTAAGTTATTTTTCGTAATGTTAAATAACACAGATATATATAAATAACCACTTATATTTAAATTTATTAAATAAATTTCAGTTAAAATGGATAAAAAATACCTGATTCAAAAGCTTCGTAAGTTAATTATTTATTAGATTGTTTTCGTTTATAATAAATAAAATGTAACAGTACCCGTAATTTACGATGACATATTTTATGGTCTTCATATATAGGATGCAGCTGGCTCAGAATCGGGGAAGGCCTATGTTCAGCAGTGGACTCAAACAGACTGAAATGATGATGGATTGAGATGCAGAAGGAGTTCCGTATTATATAGAATCTCCATCGAATAAGATTTTCTGTAACAATAATAAAAATAATAATGTTCATTTCGTTAAATATTTGTTTACATTTATCATATACAGTGATCGAAGACATTTAGTAAGCATAAAATGCCTGACATGTGACTTAATGACAATAATGAACGGTGAACACATATTTTGTTCATTTTAGGGATAGAATCCAATATGCAATGCAATCCACTTCCTGGGTTGACTGGTAGAGAATGCCTTTGGGCATTAAGTCCACCTTTTGTTGCCTTGTTTTAATGAATGGTTGGCGATAAAGATTAAATAAATAATGTAATAAAAAACTGCAAGGTGATCACATAAACATCTTATTAACCACATAAGCCATTATTACCACATAAGCGCTCAATGGATGAATATTGGACAAATTTAGAACAAATAAATCTGATCTCCTTTGTTTCATTAATTACCTCCACAGGTGACGAACTAAGTGAAGAAGGTAAGAATTTATTCATTGTACGTAAAAAAATCAGAAATTATTTTATTCTTACAGAAAAATCCTCAAATTGGTCATAATAAGGCGTTTTTTTAACGCACTATCTTGAACATGACTGCACTTGACCGTACCTGACTTCATTACTAACGCTGTTACAGAAAAAAATGAAGTAAAGTATTTCGAGAGTATACTGAAAAATGTGAAATCTATTACAAGTAAGTATTTGTATGATGAAATATATTGATTTCTGCGATTTGCTTTAGCAACAATATCATTTATTTTACATATTATTTATTTGTTTCTGTTTTTCAGAAAGTCAATGATTTGAACTTAAGTAATAATTATAAAACTTACATTTACATGTTTTCTTACTTATTATCAAGCATTTTCTTCCAGCTCTTATAATCGGAATAAAATACAAAGTAAATCATTTCAAAATCATATCATGTTTATTACATCTTAGAAAATTAATAAAATCAACACCATTGGTCAGAAAAGGTCAGAAAGTTCAAAATAATTGGTGAACAATAAATATAATCAAAGGATTTTAAAATTTCCGACCGTCCATATCGTCATAGCATCTTAATTTGATTGGTTTAAATACTTTTAAAGACAAAAAGCTTTGTTGAAATAACTATGCAAAAGCTCAGAGTTTTTCGGCCATTATCATCATCATTTCAGCCTGTTTGAGTCCACTATTGAACATAGGCCTCCCCCATAGACTGCCACATTCAGTTGTTAGAAATTCGCAGCAAACAGACAACAACTCATATATTTTGGTAAATAAGAAAACTAAAACTCGCCGGGCCTTAATAAAACGACGCTGTAGTAAACACCATCAATACGGTTCCGAGGCAATCAAAAGCAATAGAACAATAAAGAAACGATAACATTTTAATTTCGCCGACATTATTGGTTCGCTCGTGGCTCCATTGCGTTTCAATGAGTCCGAACGTTGAGCACTCCGCATATTGCGTTTCGCCGAGCTCGCTAACTAAACTAAGTATACTAACTAAACTTACTAACTCCGCTGGCCGACCCGAAGTGGATCTTGGTCTCCGATACGAGTTGGCGCCAACGCGCCCTATCATAACTAAGCATACGGCATATTCAAACATGTACATTCATATTGTAACGTCTTGTCATAATTTTATAATTACCATGGTGGAGGGTAGATTAAGTTACTATTTAATAAACCAGTCTGTTGCTTACACACGCCTTTGATTGACGTTCCATTGGCGACGGGTACGGGATTTTTAAATCTTTACGCATACGAACTTATATAAATTGTACAAAATGCCGATAGGAAAAATAGAACCATTTAATTTAAGCTCGAAACAGTGGCCCGCGTATATTCGTCGAGTAAATCAGTATATTATGCTTAATGAAATAAGTGAGGCATTGAAAGTGCCGATGTTAATAACTGTTGTGGGCGAAGAAACTTATGCGTTAATGTGTGATCTGTGTTCGCCTTGTTTTCCGGAAAACAAAACGTATGAGGAGTTAGTCAAACTTGTGACGGAGCACTTAGAACCGCAGCGATCCGAAATCGCTGAGCGCCACGTATTCAGACTCAGACGTCAGCGCCCCGGCGAATCCCTCACGGAGTATTGACAAGTATTAAAACATCTCGCGGCTACGTGTAATTTTGGCAAATGCAACACATGTTCTACTTTGGAGGAGAACCTTCGTGACCAATTCGTGTCGGGTCTAGCCAATGACGCAATGCGATCGAGAATTTTCGCCGAGAAGAAGATCCAATATAAGGAGGCGGTGGAGCTCGCGTTGGCTTTAGAGGCTGCCGAAAAGCATGCGGAAGTGAGCGGCTCCACAAAGGTGTCGGCGACGGACTCAGGGGCGACGGGTGGCGAGGCGGGCGAGTGCCTGTACTATGCGCGTGGCAGCGGCGGCGTCAACGGCCGGCAAGGTGGGCAGCGCGCGCGGCCACCACGAGCGCCCGGAGCAGGGGGCGCGACGACGGCGGCTGGCGCAGGCGCGCGCGCGTGCTGGCGCTGTGGCAGGGCGCACGCCGCCGACAGGTGCCGGTTCAAATACTACAACTGTGACGAGTGCGGCCAGCGGGGCCATATTAAAGCCGTGTGTAAACAAGTGCGCGGTGGGCCGGTGGGCCGGCATACTTATGTGAGTGATGAGTCGGACGACGGCTTGTACAACATTGAGGTGGCAACTCGAGGTAACAAACCGTACTTTATTAACTTATCAATCGATAATAAAATTGTCGAATGTGCGATAGACACCGGTAGTCGTATTTCTGCAATAAGCGAAGAAATGTATCATAGTATGTTTTGTCATAAAATAATTAAATGTGATAATTTAGCTTTACGTTCCTACTCTGGATCTCAGATCGTGTCTCTTGGTTATATTGAGGTTGATGTCAGTTTAGGTAAAATAAAAGAAAAATCATTACGCTTATATGTCATTAGAGGTGGGGCACGGCCGTTATTAGGTCGAGAGTGGATGCGTGTCTTAAAAATAAAACAAATTAACCTCAATGAAATCATAGATGAAGAATTCGTAAACAAATTATGTAAAGAGTTCCCGGAAGTGTTTAGCGATAAACTAGGGACATGCAAGCGAACCATCCGACTACAGCTCTCCGACGATGAACCGGTTTACGTGCGAGCGCGTCCGGTGCCGCTAGCGCTGCGCGCACGGGTCGAGGAGGAGTTAGCGCGTCTCGAGGCCGACGGCTCAATATACCGCGTAGATTATTCGGATAGTCCCCGTTGTAAAAAAAAATGGGAAAATACGTATTTGTGGTGATTAAAAGATCACGATTAATCCAAAGTTGAAAAGAGATTATTATCCCCTACCGCGTATTGAAGAGCTATTTGCGAATCTTAAAGGTGGGGAAAAATTTGCAAAAATAGGTTTAAGGCACGCTTACGAACAGTGCATCCTCACCGATGATTCGCAACCGTACACCGCTATCACCACACACATGGGAACTTTTGCGTATCGACGTACACCGTACGGTTTGTCTTTTATCCTGAGAAATTTCAAAAGTTAATGGAGGAGACTTTGCGTGGTACGCCCGGTTGCGTAGTATTTTTAGATGATATTTGCGTTACAGGTCCGAATAAGTTAGAACATATAAAAAATTTGAGAGCTGTACTCGAACGGTTACGGCGCATGGGTCTTACGGTTAAACTGAGCAAATGTAAGTTTTTACAAAACAGTGTTAAATACTTAGGCTTCATAATCAATAAGGAGGGCTTGCGGCCTGATCCTGAGAAGTTGGAGGCCATTTCCAGTGCGCCTACACCTAAAAATGTATCTCAACTAAAAAGTTTTCTAGGAATGTTAAATTATTACGGCCGATTTATTCCTAATTTAAGTACTTTACTAGAACCTTTACATAATTTGTTAAAAAAGAAAGTAGCCTGGAAATGGGACTCCAAGTGCGAGAAAGCCTTTATTGAGGCGAAGCGATCTCTCCTTAGTGAACGGGTGCTGGCTCATTATGAGGAAGGACGCGAGTTGGTGTTGTCCGTGGACAGTAGCGCGTACGGGCTAGGGGCTGTACTTGCACACAGGTACGAGGACGGCTCCAAGCGCCCCGTCAGCTGCGTGTCTCGCACGCTGAACGCAGCTGAGCGTAATTATAGTCAGCTCGACAAGGAGGCGCTCGCCATCTTATTCGGTGTCACTAAACATCACCAGTACTTATTCGGGAGGCGATTCACGTTGTACACGGACCACCAACCGCTGACTTACATCTTTGGTCATAAGGGAGGTATCCCCCAAACAGCTGCAAGTCGTTTGCAAAGGTGGGCGGCGTATGATTTTACCATTAAATATATTCGATCGGCGGACAACGTTTCGGCTGATGCTTTATCACGGTTACCGTTACCTCAGGAGGGTCGTTTTGCGGACTCGATAGACTATTTAAACATAGTAGGCGATTTTTTGCCCATTTGTTATAAGGACATAGCTCGAGAAACCGAACGTGATGCATTATTATTATGTAAGATTAAACGATATGTATTTTTCGGTTGGCCGCCAGAACCAAGCTGCGATGCGGAAAGACCTTATTTTGCGAGAAAACACGATATAGTCGTAGAGCAAGGTTGTGTTATTTATAAATACAGGATAGTAGTACCCTATGTTTTACAAAAAAAAAATTTAGACGAGATCCACGAAGGTCACCTAGGAATGAACAAAATGAAATGTTTATCGCGGAGTTACGTATACTGGGCGAATTTAGACCGGGACATCGAGGAAACGTGTAGATCATGCGTTGCGTGTAGATCTGTACTCGACGCACCGCCGCGGTCGCATCTGCACTCATGGGAGTTCCCGTTGCACCCGTGGCAGCGCGTACATGCTGACTTTGCAGACTGTGGGGGTACACGCTACTTAATTATAATTGACGCACATTCTAAATGGATCGAGGCCATACCGATGCAGGGTACAAGCGCACATTCCACGATTAAAATTTTTAGAACTGTTTTTGCAAGATTCGGTTTGCCATCGCAGCTTGTGACGGATAATGGACCACCGTTTTCTTCACAAGGGTTTCAAATATATTTAAGAATAATTGTATTAAGCATACCACCTCGGCGCCTTATCGTCCTCAGGGAAACGGTGCGGCGGAAAATGCCATCAAAGCTATTAAAAAAACATAAATTCCTTTTGAAATATCGCAACTGTGAGCACGCAACGACGGGCGTCTCACCGGCGGTGGCACTACAGGGCAGGACGCTGCGCAGCCGCCTGGACGCACTGCGGCCAGACGTGGCGGCCGCAGTGCGCTCTAAGCAAGAGCAGCAGGTAGTACGCACCGCCGGTGCTAATAGGGAGTTTCGCGTGGGGGATGCGGTACTCACACGTGACTACAGAACGAAGGGAAGCAAGTGGGCTGAAGCCATAGTTGTTAAGAAGACGGGACCGGTCTCTTATAAAGTCGACTTAGGAAATGGTGTAGAGTGGCGTAGACATGTTGACCAAGTTATTCGAACTAAGAATCGATTCTCACTGTCACGTACGAGTGCCGCGCCTCCGGCGGACAGCAGTGGTTTAAAATCGGATACGACAGAGGTCGATAATGAGGCCGAAGATGAAGTATTTGAGGACGCTTCAAATAGGGATGAGACCTTGAATGAACCCTTGGAAGCGGTGGAAGCGCCACAGGCACAGTCCGGGCAGATCTCTCCAGCGCGTGTGCCTGAGTCGCCTTCACCACATACATCAGCTCGAGCACTGCGTGCTCTAAAACGAGCTAAACGCAATATTTAAAATTTAGAGTAAGATTTTTATGAAATATAATTATTATAGTGATTGTAAGCTAAGTGGGGAGAGAATGTAACGTCTTGTCATTATTTTATAATTACCATGGTGGAGGGTAGATTAAGTTACTATTTAATAAACCAGTCTGTTGCTTACACACGCCTTTGATTGACGTTCCACATATAAATTCATAACAAAGTAAAATTCATATACAAAAATCAGCTAAGTGCGAGTCGGCCTCGCACACGAAGAGTTCTCTACCATTATCTATAAAAATGGCAAAAAAATCATGTCTTTTGCATGGGAGCACAACTTAAAAGTTTTCTTAATTTGTTTTTTATTTTTATTTGTTGTTATAGCGGCCAGAGAGATACATCCTCTGTGAATATTTCAACTGTCTAACTATCACGGTTCATGAGATACAGCCTGGTCACAGACGGAGAGACAGACAGTGGAGTCTTAGTAATAGGATCCCGTTTTACCCTAACAAGGGATTAAATCACAATGTGAGCTACATATGACAGCAGTTGAGGGAAGGCCTCCTGTAAAATGTACTGCACACTGCATGTAAGTGGCAACTGTTGCAAAACAGCCGCGTATAAATGGTAACTGTTGCGAAACACCATTGTGAAACATTGAATGTTTGAAAATTATCGCAACGGCTGTACTTTCTGATAATATTTTGGTGCACAAGAAAAATGTCTGAATAGGCAATTTAAATTATAAATTATAAAAATTCTTTACACTTTCTATACGTACGTTAAAACGGTAATTATTTTTTTATAAATAGATGTAAGTTCACAGAGAGAGAGAGCTTTTAAAGGCTTTACCTATCCTCAGCCCTCGTTGAATTTAATTTGCAAGTGTTAGAAATTAAAAACAATATTGTTTATAGCACGCGAAGTGCCGTGTACAAGCTTTTTATAGGTTTTTGATGCCGATAGGTTAAGTATCTTTAGGATATTAAATACTTAAGCTGACACTTATTCTGATTGCATAGCTAATTCATTCTCGATTTGGCTTGTTGAATATTATTTTTGTTTTCATTTATATACCTGTTAAAGAAGAATGTACATACAACGAAATTGAACGTTTACTTGAAAAATATCGATTCATACAATTTTTTATGCTTAATTATAAATACCTGCTTGTTTTTTTTTATTTCTGAAACCTATTTTTATTTAAAATTCTCTTAACTATCGTATCAAAAGAGGGATACGAGTTTTCAGAAAATTCTGAGAAATTTCCAGCTTCTGTCTGTATCCTAAATATGACTACCGTTGAATAAATAATTGTATGAGTTTGAAAATATGCTGTGTCATAAACAACGGTATATCTTTCTGATGATTTACTGAAATGAACAACATGCGAGGACGGAGGGACGTTATTTTGGCTATGACGTCGACTCTTAATCTGCTGACATGGTTTGTAGCCAGTCACGTGTGGATTTCTGTGTAATGGACAGTTTCATTCTGTTACCAATGTGTTTATGTACGTAAATCTTGTCACAAAGATTTAGGGCGATTTCTTTGCTTGTTCCTATTCCAGATACAAGAATTGTTTTCTACGAGGAAACTTCAACATACATAGTGTCTATTCTTGTCACGACAAGCGACCTTGAGCTTGACGTGAACAGGGAGCAACATATAACTTTCACATTAGCAATACCAACGCAACGGGCCGAAACGCACGTTTCTGCTCGCTTGCCCTACTCATGTATTCAGACTTGAGAGCGGTCGCCTGTGAAATTTTATGTGAGCATTGTCGTCGAAAGTGAATTCAAAATTCAAATCGATCCGATTCGCTTCATTACCGCCCTGGGAGCCAGCAAACATCCATTGAATATTTCATGGCGTCCCATGGCTAGAAACTATTTAGTATAACCGCTGTTCTTGGCCCGAGACTATCCTTGATCTGGATATTAACGAATTTAAACAGATTTTAACAAAATCACGTATTCCGCTGGTTTTATTTAATAGCTCGTTAAAATAGGTCACATATATTACTACGCTTTCAGAGCCCTATCAATAACAAAGTTTAAGTACCTGTAACTATATGATATACGATGCCTCGTAAATAACAATTTTCAGAATTGTCATCGGTGCTTTCGTTTGACTGTTTGTCTAAAAGAACAGTCTTTGAAACGGTTCTACGAATTTCTTGAATGATTAAAATAATAAGATGAGGTCATTAACGGCCGAATGGGTTTAGTGGAGTTTCTAGAGTCTAGACAGTTTCTGGTATCTATATGAGATTTTATAAAAAACAATAACTAGGTACCTGGTTTGCTCTTTTTTATGTGAAAAGTTGACAAGCAAGCAGGCGGTTCATCTGATGTTAAGTGAATACCTCCGCCCATGGACATCTGCTACACCCGAGGGTTACAGATGCGTTGACAAGTTTGAAAATTGAGCTCTGACTACCTCACTCACCAGACGAAAGGCGAAAGTATTTGTCATACCACATTACGCCTTTGTTCTGTGAGGTCGTGGTACTTACCTGGACGAGCCTGCCCATTCGTGCAACAGCAGAGCTTCTGCGTGGCACTACCACAATTGAAATTGTTAAAAATAAAAAAGGTCATATGCAATTTAAATAAGTGTTTTGTGATTTTAATTACACAAACTATAATTCATAAAGGAAAAAAATAGTAATAATATGTTTGAAAAATTAATATAATTACTATAAGTTCAATTATAAAAAAGAAGAGTTTTTTTTCGGTTTTACATTATTGTTTATAGGATAAATCGAGGAGTTAGGTTTCCTAATACCAAACCACCTATTTGTTTTTAAAAATATTAATTTAATGTCTACGCAGTAATTACTTCTTGAATCTTGAAGTATTGCTGTGGTGCCGTACTTTGTTTAAATTCACATTTTTCAAATTATTTTTATACTTATTATGGGGTTGAACTAACTCATTTATTTCTTATTAACATAAAGTCACTGCGCGTCAAAGTAATTTTCGCAATGCTCTTAAGTGATAGTATAAACGTAACTTAAAAATTGAGGATCTATTAAAGGCGTTATGAAAGCTCTTTGAATTTTCTCGACAGAACCAATGCCGGGAAATTGGTGAAATTGAAACGGGTACTATAATCCGATTGCTAGCGCTTCTTTATTGAACGATAAAAGTTACAATAATGGGTGCGGGAAATTCTGTTTCACGTATCAACAGTTTATTGATTTTATCGACACCTCAGCCTGTTTTTCTTCATTAAAGCACTGTATTAAATATTGTGCTTTAATAAAGACGGTAATTTCATTGTATTAATTGATGTTATTTTTTTAATTGCTTTTGTTAATGTGTTAATGTTATACATAAGTTTTCCTTGACCATTTACTTCTGTTTACAATTCATCTACTACGCTAAAAGTAAACTAACGAATGGCATAACCCGGCTTCGCATGGGTAGCAGTGGCTATAAACAAAACTTTTGATCCGTTCGCTACCAAACTTCAAGGGATTACCCACTGGAGTAATTTGAAGATTGTCTGAATATTTCTACAAAACCAATCTAGCTGTTTTGGAGTTCATAGGGAACAAATATACATACTCATCATTTTTATATGTATACTAGCGGACCGACAGACTTTGTCCTATACACATGATTTTAATCCGATAACTTATAAATAAAAAAGAATAACAAAAATTTGGACCAAACTGTGTACCTAAACCATTCTCGAATCGACTTGAAGACACAAAAAAAATCATTAAAATCGGTCCAGCTGTTTAGGAGGAGTTCAGTGATATACACACGTACAGTAGAATTATATATATAAGATATAGATTGGGCCTGTGATAGCGGATACGCAGATTTCCTCACGATGTTTTCCTTCTTTGGTGCCTGTAGCGAAGATCGCACTCAGGTTGCTTAGGTATATTGAACTTAATGAGCTATCACGGCTTTGAAGACAAGATTTGATAAGGACTAATAATATACCGTTGATATTTATCTTAGATGACCGGTATGAACGAGCTATGCACATCATAATCGAAATAGTATTAAAGCAGAATAGATATGTCCCGCATGGGATTTCGAAAAAGTTTTCGGCGCATTGTAGTTAGAGCAAGGAATACGTGATCACGGCTCAAATCACCCCTTATCACTTATTCCATCACCGGTACTGCGCTTCTTGATGTGAGCAAGTAGAAAGTGAAATCAAGTGGGGGGCAGCATACGTCAAGAGGGCGTCACACAACCAAGCCAAGTAGATGGCAGTGGTGTGATAATCAACACAAAAATATCGAAGACTTGATCTTTTTGTTGTAAATAATTAGCAAGTACATCAAAAGTCGATTATTATGCGAGGAAGTCGTTCACCTTTTGTTCACGTAGTCTAAAATCAATTATTTGCTGTAAGAATAACGGAAGGTAAAACATTTCTCGAAGCTATTTGGCTATAATCAAAACAAATTGGACCCACAATCTGTCGTTACAACATCAAGGCTATGTTTTGAACTCAAGTTTTATAAAAGTTGTCTGAAAAAATCGTTAAATCCTAAGATGTATTTGGCTTGAAAAAACTGTGAACACTAAATTGCTGAATGCGTTGGTTTACCTTCAACTTTGAGAATGTGGTAAGTCAATGCTCAAAGGTACAATTTCTGCCAGGAACGAGGTTTGAACTAAGTACCTATAAGAAATTAAGAAAGAAACCCTCGAACCCTTCCTTTTTTATGAGATATATGGATACCAGAAAATAAACAGAGACAAAATAAAGCTTTATTGATGGAGCGCATGAGATTGATCAAATATAAACAAAAACGTAATGTTTTTACCTCCTTCTTAGCCAAAAAATCGTATGATGCAACCGATGTGTTCTTAAGCTTATTACGAAATTGATATAATCTTCGTGTTTATTATAAGATTATTCCCTTACGGTGATGCTTTAAACAGTTTAAAAGTGTCCAAAGTATCTAAGCGTTGAGGAGTATAAAATGTATGTGAATTAGTGTAAACTAATAATGGTGTTTATTTATGTGTAAATTATAGATATCTATTG